TATATGAAAGTAGGGGAAAATTAGTCATAGTTCCCTCTCTTAGCAAGTGGTTTAGCAACCGTAATTTTTTTTTATTATTTTGAGTTGTTGTCTTGAATATACTGTTGCCTATCTCACGTTTTATTTCACGGTTTCACGGGATAGTATGGGTCTTAGAGCTTCTGAGTAATAATATATTATATTATTTGGTAGGAGGTAGTAAGTTCTTTTTCGCGCTGCATACAGCATTATCAAGATCCTGTCTTACCTTCATGATATAGAAATATTTTCATCCAAGCAGATTAAGCTTTTATAAATATAATCGATGGTTTACATTTTCCGCTAAGCAAGTGGTAAATCCACATGAATAAAATCAATTACCGCATATATGAAGGATCAGCACCTCAGAAAGGCTGGACAGATTTCGATGAATACTCACACTTACATTGGTAAATGGCATTGTTGTCGAGATTTAGAAAATAGTCGTAGAAAGTCAGGGTGGATCGTTAGTCAGCGTATAAAATTAGGATTACAAATGGAATCCAACTTGTTTATGTACCGTGTGTCTGTCAAGATTTAATATTGATACCTCCCTATATATATTCGTTTTTAAAGTTTATGAAACGAATATTTGAAATGTAATGTAATAATCATCACCATTTGATATAGAAATCAATTTCCATGATCGTTCAATTAATAGTAAGTCTAGTCCTTACAAAACAAAAACGAGTATATCGATGTCGATTGTAGCTAACATTGCGAACGAAATCACCATAGATTAAAGACGTAATATCTTGTAAAGTTTACGTCATACGTAATACTGCCACAATATGAATGTCATTTTTTTAATAAATCAGAACATTAGAGTTCGCGCAAGATAACTCTGCGCGCGGCCAAAATTGGAACTAATCGTGTGCCGCCATCTTACTGTTAATGGCAAGTATCTAAACAGAGTGGTAGGTGTCCTGTTTTTATTCTTTTTTGCAATAATTAATCGTTATCATTATGCCGAAAGTGATTAAAAGTGCTGGCAGGGATGTTATTTTGAAGGTCAAACGTGCTTGTGAAGAAGAACGAGACAATAACGGGCCTATAGTACCGTTTTCCAAAGTTAGAGCCCGTGTTGCATATTTAACAGGTAATTTTTAGGGATGCCATTACAATAAAATTTCCCAATTTTCTCTATTTGTTCCTTTTTAATTTCCTCGTGTCATTAATATCATGCATTTATAATGCATTGTTTTTATTTTGTTTTAGGTGTTTCTGAATGCACCGTCACCCAGATAAGTCAAGAGGGTAATATAGCAGAAGCTTCATCTTCTAAAATTGTGACGCCGGGAAAAACTAGGAACCGAAGGAAAAAAATTTATGATTTAGACGATTTCGATATGTGCGCTATAAGGCATTTAATTCAATCATTTTACGTCGTGGAGAAGGAGATTCCTACCATAAATAAACTTTGGTTGGAATTGAAAACTGATATTGGTTTTAAATATGGCAGAACATCGTTGAGGAGTATTTTAAAGACTATGGGCTACAAATACAAAAGGTGCCAGTCTAAACGAAAAGTATTGGTAGAACGCAGTGATATTGCAGCTTGGAGAGCAAAATACGAGTATATTCTGAGGTTGCGCAAGAATCGTCAGGAAGAAAATCGACCGGTAATTTATGTTGACGAAACGTATATACATGCTTCATACCACCTTCAAAAATGTTGGCAATCGAAGGAACAGCCTGGTATTCTTGCTTCTGATAGCGTCGATGCAAGATGGATAATAGCCCATGGTGGAGGTAAAACTGGGTTTGTTGAAAACGGACTGCTGCTGTTCAGGTCTAACTCCAAATCGAATGACTATCATGACGATATGAATTCAGCTAACTTCATGCGGTGGATGAAAGAAAAAATTGTGCCGAATCTTCCAACGAATTGCATTGTAGTGATGGATAATGCGTCATACCACTGCACACAGATCAACAAGGCGCCTACAATTGGCAATACAAAAGCAGAGCTCCAAGGATGGCTTACGAGAAATGGTATTACATTTGAAGACTGTTGGACAAAAGCGCAATTATACGAATTAATTAAAAAATACAAAGGAGACCCACAGTACGAAATAGATCAAATGCTAAATGAATATGGACATGAGGTTCTCCGTTTGCCGCCTTACCACTGCGATTTAAATCCCATAGAAAAAATTTGGGCAATAGTAAAGAGACGCATTGCAGAGAAAAATATCACTCAAGCTCCTAGCGAAATAGCTGCTATTACTGAGGCGGCGTTTAGAACAGTAACGACAGAAGAATGGTTCAACGTATGCCAACATGTAGAAAAAATAGAAGATAAATATTTCCAATCAGATAGGCTGATGGATATGGAAATGAATGAATTTGTAATTAATGTTACAGGTGACACATCCGAGTCATCTGATGAAGACTCTAGCATGGATTCTGATGAAGATATGCGAATGGAAGGCGTTGATCCACTGCAGGACCATTGTTACACCAAATTTATAAATAATAATAGGTATTCAATAAAAGATTTACAAGGTTTCCTTGGACTTTTTATTTCGTTCTTTATAATAAATATTATAATGCTATTTCAGTTGTTTCAAAATACCTTTTTTGGAAAAATTTATTATAGACAAAATATCAGTAGTCATTAATCTTAGTATTAGTCCTTTTTATACACGCATATAATAGGTACCTGTAATTGTGTAAAAAAAATTGTAGTGGCGTAGTTAAACTTGTGTAGTGAGGTATCAAACTTATGAAAGTTAGAATCAAGAAATATATTTATTACGGGGATCTTAAACAATAAATATGGGGTTTAAAAAATTATTAGGTCTTTGTAAGTTTAGGCTGAACATTACAGTTTTTTTAATTGAGATTTGGTAATCAATTAGGTAATTTATGTAATTTGATATAATTATACAATTCTAGTAATAAGATTAAACGAAGGAAAAAATATAAGTTAAGCTGGCAACATTAAGCACGCCATCAGTCGCGCGCAGAGTTATCTTGCGCGCACTATAGTAAACTTACTCTCATATTTCGCATAGTATAAAGAGACCAAAGACGACCACTTGACATTCCTATTGTCACGCGTGAATTACTTGCAACATCTTTCAATAGATTTGTCTGTTTTTGCCTTATTGGGAAATTAAATTAGAAAAAGCGAGACAAGTATACCAACTCAATTTATGTAGAATTGTAGGTTCTCTCTATGCATACGTATGTAATAATGTAATATGTAATAATATGTAGTAAATAATAATGTTCTCTTAGAGACAAAAACATGAAACAGATTCATAAACGAACATGTGTCTATCTTGCACGTTAAACAAGGCATTGGTTAGCATGGCGATTGCATTGCATTCAAAGCAACGAAAGATATGTTAAATCGAATGAATAAATCCATGTATAAAGATGAAAAAAATAAGAATATGATGCTTACTGCAATATTTAAATTTAATATAATAAAAATATAGCATTTTAAATGTGTATAATTTTACTTTTCTTAGTTATACACACTGGTAAATATAGTTGGGAGTATTTAGGAATTTTTCACCACAGACTGGTAGTTTTTGGTAAGTTTCTAACCAAAGTAAGACAGGATCTGTATTTTAAAAATGGTCACACTAATCATAATCAAGTATCACAAACGTAGACAGAGAAACCTGTAGACAAATTGACGCCTTCTTTCGCATTCGCACACGAAAAAGATAGATTTATTAGGTTTCTCTGTCTACGGATTTATACATACGTCTTGCATAGAAATGAGACAGAGCAGTGTGATTGTTTGTCCCTTTCTCCGTGCCGGTTTTTTTGTTTAGCAAACTACACTTTGCCACTAACTTTGACTGTTCGTAGCGGTCTAAGGAGTTTAGAAGTTGGTTTATGTGAAAAAAAAGTGTTTTGTAAGCTTAAGATTGCTGAATCTTGTTAAGTTCAGTTCTTAGAACAATTAAAATTTTATTCTAAATATGTTTAAAAGTCATAAAGATTATTGTATAACCTAAAACTACGTTATCGTCCTTTCTCACTCGAGGCCACGCTAATCATTAGTCTATAGGTTTCTCTGTATACGATCACAAACTAATAAGAGTATAATTGCCAACATAAGTCGTGAGCACACTTTTTATTGGTAGATACGACGTTGACCACGCTGACGTTCAACGTGATTGGTTCATCAGTCGATTCTCGTCGTCTATTGGTTTCGAACGTATCATTCGGCTTCCGTAAACTTCAGAGCAATAATTTTAGTGATAACTTTTTTAATTAGTTTATTTTCGTTAATTGTTTTTGTCAGCTCGTTGTTAATTGTTGTTTGTGTATTCCTTGTTATTAATTGTTTTTGTTATTTCTTGCTTTTAAGAAGGAAGAAAGAATTCGGTGTTAAATAGACAATCCCGACAAATGGTCTATTCAGTGTTTAGTTACATGAAAAAATTAGGTACTGCGAAAAACATCATAGAAATATATAAACGACTACTGAGGCGACTAATGTCTCAGTAGCTACTGTACGGCGCACCGCAACACCAGATTTTATGGAAGGCATATCACCTCTTCCTTCTTCTTAATAAAATAATCAATTGTAACCACCAGGTATACATTAAATACTTTATAGTAGATAATAAAATAACGGACACGAATATCTGCAACATTACTGTATCAAAGTAAAAGTTGATGTGTTCGAGTAAACATTTTCATAAAAGTCGGCGAAAATATTCAATTACGAATTGAAATAATAAAGGTACCCAATAATTTTGCCCGACAGTGTACCTACCTCCCACCACAGTTTATCTGTGCTCACGACTCGTGTCGGCAAGTATACATTGACTATACTCATCGCTGTCAGATACACTGTAATAGATCTGCCGTATTTTCAAGCCGTCTACTGGATATCGCATTTTATAAATACAGTGTATGGAGACACAGTATTTTTTTGCAACAAAAAACAAAACTGTATTTTATAATTACTTTAATTATGAAAAATATCGTATATTATGAATATATATGTAATGGCTTATAATTATATGGTAATTGAAGGGTAATGGGTCATTGACAGGTAAATGAAGTTGGATATTATGCTATAGTGTAATTTTAACATTATATACCTAATATGTATCATTCAAATTGTCTGGTATTGGATTAGAATGCCACCAACTATTTTGGCCGAGCAACAACAAATAGCCGATCAATGGCAGAAATTTCCAATACTAAAAGAAAGGTTGACCCTGCAGGCCATCGCTGGAACTTCCCGCTGATTTCGAATGCAAGCTCTCCATATTTCACCGACTTATGTTGCAAAATCTCGAAGTTATGTTAAAGAAAACGTTTTTTTTTTCAAATTCTTTCTACTTCGATATCTCACGAATGAATGAACCGATTTTTATTTTTCAAACAGCATTCGAAGTCGTTTTTGAGGTTAAAAGCTGATTCGTTTTTGAAATTGATCTGTAAAGCCGTTTACAAGTTATTACAAAAAACAGTTTTTAATTTTTTTTTTATTTTTGGGATTTCTCAAAATCTACATATAAAGAATATTTTGACGTGTCGTCGTATCACTGAGTTCCGCCTAGTGCGCTCCTTTATAACTATTTTCCTAATACTAAAAATACAAAGCTGCGGTTGCCATCCTGGTCAAGCGTGACAACCATGGCAAATATCCCCCTATGATGCAATCTATGGGGGAGGCCTATGTTCATTAACACTCTAAGAATTACTGAGGAACTAATTTTAAGAATATTATCACAGCTTTAATTTTATTAAATATATTATTAAATTAACACCATCTGGAATTACGAACAAGAGATAAGATAGCTTAATGACTCTATAAATGAACCTTAGTGTATTTGTTTGTTGACTCCTTCATTGAGTATAGACTCGGTTGTAATACCTGCAAGAGATGTCAGGGAATTGCTAATGAATGACTCATTAAAACTCATCACTATACCCGAAATTGTTGTAATATCTCAAGTCGTTATAAACGTACCATTCTATATCAAAAGTATGTTAAATTCAAGGGATTTCAAAGTAACGTCATTATAATCGAAAAGTCGTTAAAACCGGAGTTGCAGTGAGCGGAAATGCACTGTACACTGTTTTGTTTTTCATCAACACTGTATTTTTCTCGCAAACACCGGATTTATAATATATTTTCTATATATTGTAAATATATATATATATATAAGGTATATCTATATAAGGTATTTTCGAAAATTTGATCTGGCAACACTGAGTATACTCTTTGCTTTGTCATATTTACTTGGTATTTCTAGATTTCTAGTCTGTGGCTGTGGCTGTTTGGGCTGGGTTTATCACTGAATTTTACTTATAGCCGCGTGTTGCGCCGATATTAGATAATTATTCAAGAATCTTGCGTACCACGTAAGTAAAACTTTAACTTTTGTAACATTAAAAACCTTTGATTTGGTAATAAACTTATTACTTGGATTATCGTTGCAGAAATGATTTATAAACTGCAAATGACCTTGCGGTTTTTTGTACCAACATCGATTGATTGTACTATTTCTATTTCCATGTTTCGTTGTTTGCTGTAAAACGGCGTAAATATGACACATTTTTCTTTGAAAACTTATTTATTCATTATAAAATTTGTATAGGTCGCTCTAAAGTTATAATATTTAAAAAAACATTATATTCTGTCTCATATATAAATGTAGGTAAGTAGTTTAAACTTACGTCATGGTCAATAATTATATTCTAAAGAACGGTACGCGGTAATATGTAAGTCAATGGGTATGCTCTTTTGTAAGTAACGAACTTGTTTCATTGAAGCTTGCTTCAAGGTGATATAAAAATCGTGGACAGGTGAGTGCCATGCTATAGAGTATAGATTGATAACTATATGTATATTGTCCAAACTTTTATGTTGTCTTTAAACAAGCATTTTATTTAGGCGAAAACTCAATATTCGTGTTGTTTTTTTTTAATTACTTATACTATGTATGTAGTATGTAGATAGATTTTGTCGTACTCAACACTAGGTTAGTGGGTTAGCAGATGAACTCTTAGTAAATGATGTTCAGTTTGGTATAGCCAATTTGTGATGTATCCTAAACTTCATAAGGTGTTTGTATAGTAGTAAAAGTCATATTCTATTTTCTGTAAAAGTATTGATTGGCCTGATTTTATAAAAGTTAGTAAAGTAAAGTTACAGCCTATATACGTCCCACTGCTAGGCTCAGGCGTCCCCTCATTTCTGAGAGTGTTTAGGGCAAGGAAGTGTCCGCCGCGCTGCCCAAATGCGTGTTGACGAAATTCACATGTCTTCGAAATATTTTTCTTATTCCTCAGACATGCACAATGTTTTCCTTCACCGCTGAGCACGTGGTAAATCAGCACTTAAAATTGCAATTAACAATTTCATTGGTGCCGGCGGGGATCGAACCCGGGTTACTCTCGCGTTCTGTTATATTTACAGCGAGCGTTAACCACTGAGCTACCACGGCTCCATTTTATACTATATACAGCCTGATTTTATACTAGAATTCAATATCGACAATACAGTTAATACCTAAAAAGACATCATAAGTAAAATAAATCTAAACGATCTGTACTAAATATTTAATTAATCCATAATTTATAGATGGACCGGGATAGTAATAGATATATTGGACAGGGATTGATGAAGTCATTGCCACCACCGATACTGTTACAGCCTATTAAGTCCACTGCTGAACATAGGCCTTTTCCTTATTTGCTCCCCTCTGTCGCTTCTTACAACACCCACAGGATGATGTGAGGTAGTGCCTTAACACAGCTACTACTGAGTAATAATAAGATAGCTACCAAGCTATTTCTAATTTGTTTGTGTAATTAATTGTTACATAATACATAATTGTAAACTGTTGTATTTTTTAAATGTCATGGGTTTCTGGCTGATTCTTCAGTACGGAGGTAGGTAAAACTATAGACATCTGGTATTTGCGTATTTTCAATGGAAGCCCCTTCCGATTCCCCTATTCCGCCATTGCAGAAATGTATAATTAAGAGTAATTTTTTTTTGTAAAATTATAACCTCACTTTTTACACAGGATATTGATTTAAAGTTACTTCTGCAATAGCTTTGGCGCTGCGGGAAGTGTAGCCCCTTCGCCCTTGCATAGCAAATTGTGGGCACTTATGCTCACCATCACAGCTTTGACTTATTAATATGCCTCGGTGACCAGCCTCAGTTGCTACAGCTTGCAAGGGTGCCTGCAGTTTGCTACAGCGGGCGGGGCCTACTCTCCCTCTGCACCTACAGCTTTGCAAAATTCACTCTAGGGGTAGGGCAGACAAGACTGTGGAGTCAAGGCATGTTGATTCGGTTTAAAAACAGATTCTACCAATATTATATACTAAGTAAGGTTGCCCTAAACTCTGCTATGATAGTGGTAAATGAAATAATGCTATGTTAGTTATTATAATTTTGTTTTATAATACTAGACCAAATTGACATACTTGTTTCTTTACAAGCAATTTTTAGTGAAATTTATTTGTATTGTAATTGATTCAAAACTCATTTACAATATCTAAAAGGTGTAATAGGTTTAAGCTTAACCCTAACAAGCCTCCTAAACTAAAAAAATTATTAAAATCAAGTACAGGACATCTATAATAGCCAACCCCAGAAGTATTTTCCAGACTAGTGGCAAATAAAACAAAAATCACTTTCATTAAATATTATTTATAAATTTATAATCTATATTGAATAAAAGATTTCTATTTATATTTTTGTTCCTATTAGAAAATTGGTAAAAACTAATTTTTTTATATTTCATCACAATTACATTGTTAAGAGGTGTAAATGTGTTCCAATAATAATAATATCGGGTCGGCTTTAGTAATCTGCTGCACGATTTAAGTGATTATTTTAGCTTTAGTTGACAGGCAATGATGCTATTGATTACCATTTAGCTGCTTTTTATGCCGGAAATCTTTATTTTTAGAGATATTGATAGTTAAAGTTTTGAGGTTATATCGGGTTGGCTAGACATCCGGTACTTGATTTTGATAATGTTTTTAGTCTAGGAGGCTTGTTAGGGTTAATCGTAAATCTATTACACTGTTTTGAATTAATTACGATAAAAACAAATTTCACCAAAAATAGTGTAATATGTAAATTTTTTCTCGTATTGTGAAGTAGATTTCCGATACTTGATTTTTTAATTATGTTTTCAATTTAGGAGGATTGTCAGGGTTAAGCTCGAACCATTTACACTGTTTTTGGATTTCGGAAATGCCTTTTGAATTAATTACGATAAAAATAAATTTCATAACATAACATAAACACTCACGCCTGTCACCCAGAGGGGTAGGCAGAGACTACGGACTTCCATTTAGCACGATCCTGACATACCTCTCTCGCCTCTTCCACATCCATATACCTACGCATACATGCTCGTCGGTTAAGGGTACTCTTAATTTGGCCCATTTTTAGTATATCGCCAATTTGGTCGACAAACTTCCGCCTACGTCGTCCCTTTCCGACTCTTCCATTCACTTCTGCAACATATATTTGCTTTGTCAGTCTTTCCGCATTCATTCTTTCTACATGAACAAACCACCGAAGCATTTCTTTCTTAATCCTGGTGACTGCATCATCTTGCAAACCACACTCCTTTTTTATGTTTTATAAATTTCACTTTAAATTACATATAACGAAACGCAAATATGTCAATTTGTTTTTTTTAACACAGATACACTCATAAAAAAGTTAATCATTCGGACCCAGACAATCCAACTATACAACCAATATACAATAAATTGAGTTGCAGTGGAGAGCAGTCAAGAGGTTTTTCAGAAAACAAAATTATAACAATTCACATTACATTATTTAATTTACCACTCTAGTAGCAGAGTTAGAGCAACTAGACTTTATAGATAAAATTGGTTGAATCGGTTCTAAAACCGAATTAGCACATCCCGACTTCATGTAGTCTTGTCTGCCCTACCCCTAGAGTGTTTATGTAAAGCCGTAGGCACGGAGGGAGAGCAGCCCCCGCCTGCTGTAAATCACCTAGGGCAAGCTGCAAAGTAACTGCTTCAATATTCCTGTATGAAAAAGTGAGGTTATGATTTTACAAAAAAAGGGGGGTTTCCGGCACTTCCCCCTTTTAGGGGGAGGTTCCTACCCCACCCCCCCCCCCACTCGACGACCATATATTCGCTCGCCTCCTTAGCTTCGGCTTGTTGGTCGCTTTCGGCGACCAATCTCAGCCACTACGGCTCACTTAGGTGCCTGCGATTTGCTACGCAAGGGCGAAGGGGCTACACTTCCCGCAGTGCCGAAGCCGTTGCAGAAGCAACTGCGTCAATATTCCTGTATAAAAAAGTGAGGTTATGTTTTTACAAAAAAAAAGGGGGGTTTCCGGCACTTCCCCCTTTTAGGGGGATGTTCCTACCCCAGCCCCCCCCCCCACTTGGAGACCATATATTCATGCGGCAGATTACTAAAAAATTCATAAAAAGTGTGGGGGGGGGGGGCTCCGGCACTTAATTCTTTTAGGGGGAGGTTCCTACCCCTCCCCCCCATCTACCAGCCCACTCGGCGACCATAGATTCGTGCGGTAGATTACTAAGGAAGTAGTCAGTCTCAACAGCGGCTAGTCATTTGCCACTCACAAAGTTCGTGTAAATTTAAAATTTTACCAGTTGTCAGTTTTTCTATGAATCCAAAATTTTATTTTTGTATTTCATTTTCTTTCTTCTCTATTAGGCCCGCTACATACATAAGGAATTATGTCTCGGGATTCCGAAACGGAACTTGCCTTATTAAATCAAACACCCAACACACACCTAAGGTGGTAGTATTCCGTTCGAAATTTTGCGGGTACAGGGTATTCCGTATGTAGTGTTTGCGGGCCTTAATAACCAAGGTGCCCCTGAAAACAACAGCTTTTTGAGTCCTACAGAAACACTGTACTGTAAATACTAGTTCGGCATCATAGAATACCTTAATACACAATAGAATGGCTGTCATCCTTATTTTGTACGACGGTAGGCGTCGCCAGGAGCACACATACAAGCAATAACTTCGTATTATCACTACTACAAACCCGATTCGCTGTGTTTACAGACAGATTTTAATACATATTTATTTGTAAATGGCGTGCAATTTGGCATTTTTTAAATAATTTGCATTGGAAATTTGAAACGATTGTAACGTCAAAACACATCTTGTCGTTTCATAATCTTGACGTTTATACGTGTGAATTGACGTATTAGTGACATTTTGGTGGCTACACGGGCTCCGCCCACTTCCGTTCTATTATGTATGTATTATAGTATTCTATGTTCGGCACGTACAGCACTGTACGTTGCGGATAAATTAACGAGGCCGTTAATAAATTCTTGCGGCGCGGCGCGTTATGCGTTTAACT